TTGACACGTTTTTGGGGACTGTTATGGACCTTTCTGCCTCGGTCACCATAGAACTCCATTATTTGAATGTCAGCAGACAGCAAGAAGCCTCCCAGATCTCCAGATGCATTTGAGATATCAAAAAAGTACTCCAGAGTGTTGTTCAGCATGGGGGTGAGTAGAAAATGAAGGCTAATCATGTTTTGGGTGTACTATTCCTTTAAGCTGAATTGATTCATAAACAGTTTATAAATTACAGTGTAAAGGACAATAAAGAACATCTTTTACCAAAATCACACAAATTTCACACAAACATGATTGTTCAGGTGTAGAAATAATCACACATAGAAGCTAAACGGTGCAAATTTCACACAATAAAAACAGTAATTCTAGCCTAATTTGAAATCTGGCTCCCTTTTTTTTTTTATTTATGCGATTAAATCAGCAGTCAGTCGCTGCTTTGTTTCCACTTTTGAATGCTGGTTTGGATATTTCTGATATGTGTTTGAGCAACTGCTAAAATGCCGTCGGAACAATGAATGTGCGACATGGCCGTCGTCTCCGGGGATAATATGGATCCAGATCAACCTCTGCTTCTTTGTCCAGTAGGCCTGAGCCTATTGTCATGACCTTCCTTTTTTTTTTTCTAATAAATGCTTCCAACATTGTGTCACAAGTAACAGAGCAACAGAGCACCTCTGAATACCTCAGAGTCGCTCATTATTCTTTCTCGTTCGCCTCCTCCTCTTCCTCCTCCCATCTCCGCCCCATTTCTCTCTTTCAGCTGAGGAACATGATTAATGTGCACCTTGCCACCGGTGGTTTTTCCTAATTGCCAACACACCGGCTCAGTCAGCGCAATGCACACACACACACACGGGTCCAGCATGTGTGTGAAAAGTGCATGCAGAAGGCATGGAAGAATAAAAAGTGGAAACACACACTGTGTCAAACGTTCCAAGGCGACACGCGTACATATATGTGGCTGCACATGCACCCACCCACCCACCCACCCACACAACACCCCGGGAGGGAGTATGGCTGGGGCAGGTGCTTGCCATTTCTCAACACATTAATCATCCTCCTTTAAATAACCTGAGTGTCGTCTTGACGGTTTGAGACTGCGAGCACACTGCGGTGCTGTTGCCTGACGACGGCACGCTCCCCCCGCTGCAGCATCTTTCTAATGTTATCTCTGAAACCCACGAGCCCCGAAGTGTCAGGAAACGGGCTCCGCTGCCTCCCGAGCCGGCTGCTGTGATTTGATGGCTCTGACCTCTACACGCGGTTGTGTTGTGTGGACCCGTGTCTAACCCCAATTTCCCAGCCAAGGTAAAGACTCTCTTTTGAGGACCGGACCTGGGCTGCTCTCTGCTAAGTGTGGGATGGCGGACAAAAGGCTGACTGGAAGGGCGCTCCGGTGTGCCATGGATGGACCCACTCGGATATCTCACACATTTAAGGGTTCAGAGGGATGTTTTGCTCAATACACTGATTCCACAAAGCTTTAAGCAAAAGAAAACCTTAAAAGGTTGAACACAGTTACCGGTTTAATGGTATCATGGCATAAAATGAAAGCAGAAATCTTACAGTGACAAAAAATAGCTGATAAACTCATTATCTGAATGTTTTTCTTTCCTCTTCTGCAACATTTGCTCTCAATCGAATTTCCCGTTTATTTAACTTTAATAAGGTTTCACCTCATCTTGATGTTTACATGAACTTTATTTTTAGATTAAGTTCTGAAACGACACGCGGACATGTTAATCATCTAAAAAAAAAAAACAGGGAGGGACCGGTAATAACGATAGCAGAGGTTCACACACCTCGATTAATGACAGGTTCAAATGCATTTTTCATCAACAGTTGCCTTTTTAATTCAAGGACCACGTCTGGTGGCATTTAACTACTGCTACTATTAAGAAATACCTTTAAAACAATACAAAGTAACACAAAATGAATGGTATAAAAAAAACAGATTCTGTCAAATTTCATTAAGGGCTAAAATAGTTAATCCAATTAATCCTGGTTAATTGATTATTGAAATAATCGTCAACTAAATTAGTAATCCATTAATCGTTAACTGGAGTATAGAGACACTAAAATATGCCTTTAGCTGACAGAGCGACCTTCTTAGAGCAGTAATTATATAAATATTGTAAAAAAAATATGTAAACATTTTGCATAAAAAATAAAATACTTTTTTGTCTGTCAATACGCTCTATCAGAACTCCTCAAGTGGAATCTTGGCTATCCAATTAATAATCAATTAATCAAAAAAATTATCGACAGATTTAGCGATTCGCGAAATAATAATAATTCCATTAGATGATATTGGTATTGATTTAAAAAACTTTCATAAATGTTAAAAATATTTAAAGGGCAACATACATTTCACTGTCTTACTTTTATACAAGATCTTGTGAGGTGTTCCTGAGCTATGTTACTCTAAAAATCGCAACATATTGCTTTTACTTATTTTTTGCGATACACAGCAATGAATTGTATGGTTACACATGTATCATGATGCATATCACGTCAACTAGGACTGAACGATTTTGCCAAAAATCTAAATTTCTATAATTTTCAACCAATATTGCAATTGTGATTTTCTTTTCCACTAAGCAAAAGCATATTGATGTTTTACTGCAGGATTTCAGTTCTTTTTAGTACCTTGAAAGCCTGCTTGTACAGATTCCAGTGTTGTTGGACTTGACTGTAACATTTGCATGAAAAAGTTCTTACTTCTACTATAATGCATATATCCAGGTGCTAGCTGCAACTCTTTGTTCTTTTTTGTGCGACACCATACCCACTTTAATACTTTTACCGCCACCTAAAGGGCTGGAGGGAGAAATTTAGTGTCTTCCACTTGTTAATGCGATTTGAAAATTAAATTTTTCTAAATAGCGATTATATTGCAGATGCAATTAATTGCAATGCCCTACTGTCAACAAATTTCTTTAAATTCACACCCCTCATACTTTGCGATGGCAAGATGTGATGGCGCTAATTGTTGATTATCGTTAATCGCGATAATCGTGCTAAGGTGCATATTTTGGGTGTATTTTGTCAACAACTCAGCAAACATTTCTTTGGTCATAAAATGTTCATTTTCCAGGGACGGCATTTAGCCTCAATTCACCCGCGAAAAGATTGCACAAAAACAGAAGTTATCTATTTGAAATTTTAAACCTCAAAAAAGATTCAAGGAAAGGTGTTTTATTTCTTCTTAAATTCCAAAGCTTTTTTTTTTTTATTATTGGCTCTACTAATGATTGAAGTATTTTCTCTTTTCTTTTTTACATTATAGCCATTTATTAACAGTAGGAAAATGGGTTTATGAGACTCCAGTAAATAATATCTACCAGGTTTGGTTTGATAGAAAGTCACCTGCTGAGTTCCACTGACCTTGGAACTAGAAAGTTGTAGTGATATATTCGAATAGATTCAGTTAAGGCCAATTTATGCTTCTGACGCATAGCCTCTGCAATTGTCAAATCTGTCTCTGTGCGTGACCACGCCCAAACGCAGAGGTTCTGCAATCCTGACTACGCGTCGGACGGTCGCAAACCCTCGCAGACCTCAAACGGAAGTGCGCAGACAAAAAGCAGCAGTGA